TATATATATATATATATATATATATATATATATATATGCAGTTTATATTAATTTCATGTTTTATATTTATATATTTTTTTATATTCCAAAAGGTAAGAACACAAGATCCAAAAATAGAAAAGAAATGAAGGTCTAAAAAAGGTCAATGAATCTATGTAAATGTTTAAAAAGCACCTTGATGTGATAAAAATAATGCTATATTTGTTTTGTTTTTTTGTCCAAATGTTAAAATAATCATAACAATATTAAATTTACATATAAGAATCCAAAACTAAAACATATTTGATATAAAAATTAAGTTTTAAAAAATGTCCAATCTATAAAAGCACAGATTATTATTCATTAAACCTGAGAGCTAAGTGAATATTGTATAATTTCCAAGTGTTGCTACAGATTGAATAATTCAAAATTGGGTCTGGACTTCATTAGGGCAGTCTAACATTGTAGCTCTGGCAGAAAGTCCTTCTCACTTTATCTCGTGGTGTGAAGGGTACCACAAAGTTTCGTTTTGGTTTCATCAGACCAGAACATCTTCTTGCCAAGTCCTTGTTATGGTTTGGGTAAAAGTGTAAACAGGACCTCTAAGACTTCCTTTAAACAATGGCTGCTTGCTCATAAAGAGCAGATTTGTAGGTTGTCCAACTAACAGTTGTCCTGCCCATCGAGCCGGGGCCTTTGTGAGATCTTTAAATCTGGGGATATAGTTTTTAAGCTAACCCCACTTTAAACTTATTCTTTATTTAGTTAAATTCATTGTGCTGTTTGTTTCCTTAAGCTTTCTAAAAAAAATCACTAAAGCCTTTACAGAACAGCTGGATTAATTCCAGATTAAAAAACAGATGGACTCCATTAACCTGGACTAGGTTTTATTCTTGCTTGTTAAAAAGTAACGCTTACGAGAGGTTTCAGATTTTTATTTTTGAAACCGATTACCGATCTGTGAATAATGTCCCTTCCTCTGTACCATCATGAGCCGCTTAGTGTCAGTGTATCAAATAAAACCTAATAAATCACATGATTGTTTCTTGTTGTAAAGTGAGAACCTGTGAAAAAAACATGTGGTATAAATGTGTTTGCAAGACGCTATTACTTTCCTTTTTTTGCACCGTCTTTATCTTTATAAAAACAGCTTTAATAGCAGGAACATGTGATTCACGTAATTACCAAAGCATGTGGCAAACACAGGAAGAGTAAAAGCAGGGCTTTTAGTTTAGCTTTTAGCTCTAGCAGGGCTGGTAATGGTGGAAAAGAACAGACATAATAACTCATTTTATTGCACCTTGCTTTTCCTTCTGCATCTTTTATTTTGAAGAAACAAACTGGCCTTACCACGGGTCTCGTAGGTGGCTACAGGCTCCGTGCTGAAGGGATTAAAAAAGGTGGGGTCCTCTGAAGGGTCGGGGGTGGTGTAGGTTGCTGTTCAAACAAACCCAGATGCAAACTTAGCCGACAGTTTACAAAATTACATCATATAGAAATAAAAAGAGATCTACGGTCATATTGAGTTAAACTTAATGACATGTGTGTGTTTCTCTGGCTGTGCATCAACTACAGAAATAATTGGAACCAGCTCAATTCTAGTACACTACTGTTCATTCAGTTTTGCATAGCAGTTCTCTATCAAAAAAAAAAAAAAAATCTCCTGTCTGTTTACTTTATAGTTTCTGATAATTAAGAAATGGAATCCAGATGAAATTTCCCTATATTGACTAATTAATTTGATCATTTTAGATTCAATGTATTAATTCATTCTATATATTTACACTGGTAGCCACATATATTGGTAACAGATTTGTCTTGTGGATTCACCGTCCCACCTTGCCAGGGTGTAAGGACACTCAGATGGCTCCATTCACTCCATTGGCTCTCCGAGTCCACATCATCGCGGGCTCTAACCTGTACCTGGTGGCTGTGCCCTGCAAGGGCGTCGGATATTTCTAATTCATCATACGTTGTGGAGATCTGTTTTCAAAGAGAAGATAGAACTAATCATAACAGAAACATTACAGTGGGCGTGAATGCTGGCAGGTAGAGCTGTTGAGATTTCAATATGAGAAGGAACGATACAAGTATTATTGTCTTGAAACAATTTTAAACTCCTTTTAAGTTTTTTATGTGAATTAGGGAATACTACTTTTAAAGTTCAGTTACTAAAAAACAAATATGATCTAGTCATAAAGTTGAAGGAAGCTTTCAAACATAAATAAAGCTAAGAATCTGCTAAATTCAAAGTAGTATAGAAAGAAAAAAAGCATGTCTTATTATTCTGGCAATTAGCGAATAAAAACTATTCTACTTACCCCAACTGACCAAAACAAAAAAAGCTTGATGTTTTTTTTTTGTTTTTTTTTTTGGTATGTTTACCAATAGAGTATGACAATCTTTTTTATTTGATTTCCTTTTATCAAACATAGTAAATATTTCTAATTAGTAGAACTTTAATGCATTAGCCTTTTTAGAACTTATTCACTCTGTTAGGGTTTCAGAGAGTGGATGACTGGGGGCCGGGGCTGGGTGGATTTAGACATAAGATTCCAGATTGTGTTATTTGCTAATGAAAAACTTTCAATTATCTGAATGTCCGTGTTTGTATGATGATGAAGTATTTTGGTTGTTCCTTTAAATTCCTCTACTGTCACTTTACTGTTACGTCAAGTAAACTTTTATTTTCATTTTTAAATTCAGCTCTGGCATAATAAATAAACTTTTTAATGAAGAGTGTAAAACTTTTAAGTAAAACAATGTCCTGCATATTATTTGATTTTAAATTACAATGAGCCTCCATCAGGTCTAGGGTTGAATACAGTACGTGACGCTGGCTTTGATTGACTCACCTCTGACCAGTGGTGGGAGCCCTGTGGTCTGTATCGAACCTGAAACAGCAGGGGGAAAAAAGTGTCGTCTGGCCAGGAAGTTGGATTTTTCCATGAAACCCTTAGCTTCGTTGGATAACCTTCCACTTCTTGCACAGACACAGCCTGTGGGGGGTCTGGTTTCACTGTAAAAGCACAAAGTGGAAAAAAAAATTAAAAAAATAAGAGATTACCTAATAGATTACTAATCTTATTTATGTAGAAGAAAAATCTATCACAAGCATTCCTTTTGGGTGGTGGAATAATAGCTTTTAAGCTTTGATGAAGAAACAAAACCTGGCACAGAAGTGTTTCCTTGCCATTGTTTCTTAGACTTGATTACTTTAGGAAAGTTTTATTTAAGACATTGTTATATCAAACCTTTTCATATCAAAATGAAAACATCAGTGATTTGGCATGCAGCCTTACAAAGCTTGCTCAGCCTGATTGCCACAAAGTCGGTGTGGGACCCGAGAGCGTTGGTCTCTGTTACTCCAACTCTGTGGATGGTCTGCCAGTAAGAAGGATCTTGAACATCACAGTGCTTGTTGGTGAGGTCCACGATGCACGGCCTAGACTCCCTCCACTCCCCCTCCTTCCCCCTTGAAATCAAGATAAAAAATATAAAAACACTGAGGATAGGGTGAAGAACAGAGTTAAAAAAAAAACTAACATTCTAAGTTGGGTGAGTTCGGGTGCAGTAATATGATTTTACCTGATGGAGGCGTTGTACTTGGCAGGCAAGAATGTTTTTATAGATTGCCTCCAGGAGCAACGGACGTGTGTATGATTGGGTACTTGGCAGGAAATGCTCAGTTGTCCCGGGGGATCTAACAAACAAGAGTGTCCCCGTTATGAACCAAAATATTCAAGAGCCGTTTGACCAACAGAGGGACGTTCTTATGAAGGAAGCTCACTCGGAAGCCCCTTCCTGTGTCAGACAGTAACAGGATATGGAGGGCTTTGTAATGGCTGATAAGACCATTTTCCTCTGAGGACTAGCCGCTCTGTTCCATTTATCAGTCTTCTATTAGTACTTTCACTATAAACATAACTTTTGAGACTTCATTCATAATAAAATATGAACAATAAAACAGATTCAAGACCAAACTTTTTTCAAATACACATCTATCTTAAAAATAGTCAAACTAAAAGAATTATTCAATGCACTTTAAATTGTTGTTTATAACAGACCATCAGGAGAGTAATGAAAAAGTAGCAAACATGATAAATGGGTTTCCTTTTTTGTTGATTATTTAAAATCTAAAGTTTGTATATGCATTTATATTCAGCCACCACTGAGAGTAAATACTTTGTACAACTACTTTTATGACATTAATAACCTGGAAACCTTCCTGGTTATGTTTATCAGCTTTGTCTTTGCCCAAAATAACATTTCTGGGTCCACTTTTTATACTAAAAAGGATTCAATAAGACTGTCACTTTGATGTTAACATATGTCTACCTATAACATGAATATGCTTTAAGATATACCACTGAATACTTTTCTGGCTGTATGTTCAGGGTCCTTGACTTTCGTCTCAGAAAATAAACATCTGCCTAATTTTAGGACAGAATTCAAAAGGTCTGCTTGCACCTTTGCCCTACATTTAGCTTACCTCTCCCCAATATGTTCTACTTTGAATATCCTTGAATACAATATCCAAGCTGATGTTAGCCTCATTTACACTACCTTTTTAAAACTGTGCCGAGATCGGTCCGAGCACGGTAACCGAGATAACTGTTGAGTGTAAATGGCACACAGAACTGAACCGGACCGTGCCAGACACAACAGAATCAAAATGGTACTAGTTATACAGTAGGGCTTGGCACAGTTCAGTTCTGGCTTGGTTCTCAGATAACAAAGCGCATGAGCAGTCCCCCTTATCTCCTATTTACAGTCAGCTTCCAGTAGTTGGTGGTATGCACATTAGTTAGGCTGCTTGCCAACCACCACAAAACCGTGTTATCTCCTTACCGGCAGCCTCTGTAATCATGAAATGTCAGACATTCAGAATAATCCTGGTTTCCCTACTGTGCCACACAATTTCCACTGATGATTCTGGTTAGCAGTGTACACAACGTCTGTAGTGGTTTCCTGTGTCTGTAAGCCCTGTAAGCCTTATTAGACTATTGTTTCTCGTATCCACTTTCAAAAAAGCCAAATCTGTCTAGTAAATTCACCAAAGGCTGCCTTCTTCGCACCAAAATTCCTGAATGTTACGGGCGTCGCAATGTTGATTTGCTTGATTCCCTCTAGAGAGCAGTAGTACCATAGATCATCACTAGGAGGCGAGGAACTGTGCCAGAGTGAAGTGTAAACGGAGCTTAGCACAGTTAATTGATCCAAGCTTGGTCAGAAACTCGGCACAGATCTTTTTTCAGAGGGTAGTGTAAATGGGGCTTTTGTCTTTTCATGTTGGCCAAAACATCTAAGTAAAGCACCTTCAGCAACTTAGATGTGTCCTTTTTATGACTTCAGCCAGCTTCATTCCATCACATTTTTTTTATCATCTTATTTTTTTAGGTCATTACATGTTTATTTCTACTTTTTTAAAACTACTTTTTCACTTTTTTGGGGGTTTGTTTGTTTGTCTCGTTTACTGTTCAAATGAATTGTCCCTGGTGGGATTAATAAAGTGGTCGAAGTCGACCCTGACCTGTCTTCTTGAGTTCTCATAATTTGTGCATTACGGTTCTCTGGTTTCTTTATGGAACGGATGCATTTCTACTGCTTACTAACAAGTGAGCCTAACTGATTAATTGGGAAACCTATGCTCATCCTCAAAATGCACATCCTAGTTTAAAAATTTAATTATCATATTTTTTTCATTACTCCTTCATTTCTGTCTGTTTACAAGATTTAATAACATCAAATCACTGTAGTTAAAGGGCTATGAATACTTCTTTAAGGCACTATACAAGGTTTAGGGGTCTAACGGTGAAGAAAGTTAAGCATCACTTACAGCCCAATCTGAGTGTAACAGAATGGAGGAGGAGCCCGCTGTCATCATAGCAGCTGTAGTTCCCTTGTGCTGATTGGTCTACATGAAACAGGGACAAGCTTCCATTCGATGTCACTTGGTGCCACAAAAAAACTGAGCTGTGGTTGTGATGCCACACCACGGGGGTCCTAAAAGGGGTTAGATTAAAGATTAATGGCTACATTAGTAACCGATGATGGAACAACGTCCATATGCAACTTTTTCTTTGTCACTTATAAGAAAATCAAGATGAAACTCTCATTAGTTGCTTGTGTTATTTTGGTCTTCCTACCTGATTTGTGACTTCCCACATGCCAGTGTCACGTTGGAGTCCAAACGCCCATACTGTACATCCGACACTGCAAACACAGACATCGCATAAAACATTAAAGCAAATCACATTTTAGCCCAGCTTCCAGAATGTGAGTACTGAGCAGCCTGACATTCAGCGTCTGTATTGTCTCCGTTAATGTGATTCAAGTCCCATCTCCAACAGTCCAGTCAGCAGTGTTACAATAACATGACCATACACGGTTCGGGATCTGGCAGACTGAGGAGTCTTTGGCTCATATCATAAAGCTGCAGGAGTGTGTTTGTGTTTCATCTTTTAAAGCTGGTTGTAGACACTTTTAAAATAATGTTGGATTTCAGATACACCTACTGGGAGACCGTGTTAATAGTAGAGACCCACGGGGAAATGAAAACGAGGCTACTATAATGTACCCTCTCTTGTGATTTCTGCATTATCCTTTTAATGTGTTTAAAAAAAATAAAAAATCCTACATGTCAAACCAGCGCAGGCAGTAAGGAGGTAACAGGCCTTTTAGATATGAGTTTATTTCTATAGCTATAAAGAAAAACACAGAGATATATTATATTGTTAAAGATTTTTGCTCTACTGTCCAAAAGATTGGAATAAGGTGTTCTGATCACTTCCATGGCCAATTGTGTATAAATTGAGGCACATAGACTGTTGTTAGAAGCATTTGTGAAAGAGTGGGTCGCTCTCAGGAGCTCAGTGAATTCCAGCGTCAAACTGTCATAGGATGCCACCTGTGCAGCAATTCCAGTCGTGAAATTTCCTAGCTGCTAAACATTCCAGTCATCTGAGCTGTATCATAAGAAAAGGGAAGTGTTTGGGAATGACAGCATCTCAGCCATGACTTGGTAGGCCATGTAAACTGACGGAGCAGGGTCAGCGGGTGCTGAAGCACAGACTGCGAAGAGTCAATAACCTCCAAACTTCCTGCTATCTTCAGATTAGCTCATGAACAGTGAGCAAAAAGGTTCATGCAACGGGTTTCCATGGTCGACCAGCTTCATCAAAGCCATACATCACAAAGTGCAATGCAAAGTGTGGGATGCAGTAGTGTAAAGCATGACACATCTGGAGACACATTATCTGGAGTGACTTCATCATGCCTCTCCATCTGGAAATTTCATAGTCTGGGTTCGGTGGTTGCCACAAGAACAGTACATGTCGTACAGCATTTTGTTTGGTGCAGGGGGGATTATGGTGTGGGGTTGTTTTCAGGAAGTGGGCTTGGCCCCTTAGTTCTACTGAAAGGAACTAAGGGGCCAAGCTTAGTAAAGAAGCTTCAACACACCAAGACAATTTAGACAATCCCATGCTCCAGACTGTGTGGTAAGAGTTTTGAGTTGATCTCTTCCAACATGACTGTGCAGCAGTGCACTAAGTTAGATCCATAAAGGCGAAGATGGCAGCGTCTGGTGTGATCGAAGTTGACTGGCCTGCATAGAGTATAACCTCAGCCCCATAGAACACCTTTAGGATGAATTACAGTGGAGAATGAGAGGCAGGCCTCCTGGTCCAACACCAACGTGTGACCTCACAAAGGCACTTCTGGAACAATGGTCTAACATCCCCATAAAGACAATCCTAAACTTTGTGGATAGCCTTCCCAGAAGAGTTGAGGCTGTTCTACTGTAGCTGCAAAGGGTGGACAGATGACATATTAAACCCCTATTGATTAAGAATGGGATGTAACTTAAGCCTCTAGGAGTTAAGGAAGGTTAGCAAACACTTCTGGATATATAGTATATATACAGTGCTGTTCACATTTATTAGCACCTCTGGTAAAGGTTTTATAACAGTAGGGAGTAAAGTGTTTTGCTAGTTGTACAGTATGGTCGAAAAGCAACGTTTGATGTCAGTTTTTTTATTCTTATAGATTTCTTATGTATCATAACTTGTCAGATTGAAGTTATTTCAGAGAGCACAATTTTTGTTTTTTCTTGCATGAAACAAAAAGTACCAACGCTTATTACCAGCTGTGTAGCTCTTTCAGTATTCAAATAGGTCTGTAAACCTTGATGAAACTGTTTAAGATAATAATGCTGACAGAAAAGCAAATAACTGCAAAGTTGAATGATTAGTATCACTAATGTTTAGAAATCTTCAATGTCACTGCTTGCCAAGTCAAATAGAATGTTGGTTTTATGGAAAAGCAAGTGTAGTGTTTACTTGAGAAAAAAAAAATCTGTGGTGGCTGTAGTAATTTGCAAAGGGGGTATTGTATCAGGTGAAGGTGAGAGTATTTGAGCACATGTTTAGCTTGGCTTCACAACATGAAAGTTGGCTTAAACGCAGATCTAGGGTGAAAAAAGGGGGAAAAGCACAAAAAGGATCATTTGGGCTGCCACTGTGCCACGCAAACAGCTTCATTAATTCATCTGGCAGTCACTGAGGCTTGCTCCTCCTACTGGCATCTCCTACCACTGAAACAAACAAACTACCCTTAGGTTTGTGTTTATAACTTTTCTTTTTGTAATTAATGTTTTAGGAAAAAACTACCAAAAAATACCTAGCTAATGGTGTTAGGCCAAACATTTAGAATCTCTGGTGAGCGTATTACACAATGCTTACTATAAATGTTTACAGCCGTTATTTGACATGCTTGGTTTTAACTCGCATCCTGACTTAACTTTTATTTTCTTTCTAATTCCTTCTGCTAAATGAAATGAAACAGCTGGAAATAGGCTTCAATTGGACTTAATGGTTGCATTTAGTTTTCTAAGAGTGAAAGATGAATAGTGAAAAGGGAGGAGAACAATGGAAGCTATTGTGACTTTCAAAAGTTGAAAAACGCTGTTGATAATGGGCGTAGGAGCTAATCACATACGACAAAAGAAAGGTTCAAAATGTCAAATTACAAGGACATGTTATTTCACTCCCAAAAAATGATGTGAGGTAGTATAAAAGGTATATCAGATAAAACTGGTTTTTGGATAAAATGAAAATTCAAGTCACATTCATTTTGAAATAAATTGCAGCTGTTAATACTGTAAATATGCTGCTTTTTGGTTTGGTGAGCTGTTTAATAAATACCAAAGCAAGGAATCTTATAGAAGTTATTTTTGATGATACTCCAAGCTTTAGTAATATAGTAAAATATTGCTTTCTATTATTTTTTTTTAACAGCGTAGAATGGTAGAATACGATTCAGCCAAATGTAAATGTTCTCAGGTGTTTAACCAAACTAAAAAGGAGCAGGTTAATTTGTTAATTTGTTTTATCCAAATTAAGTTTTGTTGTCAGTGACTTATGCAGCTACTAAATAGTCCATTCTTCACAAGAGCACACAGGTACAGTATAGGCTTTATTTTAGACACAGCAGTCAAGATTTTCATTAATTGTAACACAAGAAAAGAGAAAAGTAATTCTCTGAAAGTTCCTGCTGGTAGACTCCTACAGAGTAATACTGAATGCTGAAACAGCTGGAGGTACAGCAACATAATAGTCTTGACGGTATGCCCACCTAATTTAGAGCGGCTTTTATATTCTTACATATTTTTCCAATGCACACATTTGTTTTTCATGGTTTTTATGTGGCTTATACGACACTTAAAAAAAAAAAGATTAAAGGCAAATCTAGATGCTTTTACTGTGTATAGTATCTGATTACTAAAATTCTAGATTGGATTTGTTTGTCATTTAGTAGGTCAGTCTTTTTTTTTATTGTTTGATTTTCCATCAATCTTTCCATTTCATCACTCGCCATTCAGAGCCTTGCTCAACAGTTCAACTACATTTTCTTTTTTTTTTTCTTTTAACCACTTTAAATGCACACACAATCCATTCTCCCTGATTTTCTGCATACGTGTACCTGGGGCCTTGGTGCAGCACAAAGAGCTGGCTGGTCTGAATGTGTGTATTCATGTTTTATTGGCAGTGAAGTACATTGTTCCCCAAACCCGCAGCGTTCCTCTCATATCTGATTTTTCCTCTGGCAGGAGCACCCCAACATGCACACACACACACACACACACACAACCACACACATAAACATACCCACATGCGCGTTCACAACGACGTGCACAGAACGGCCTCATGTTCTTCTTGACATTAAAATCAGATGGCAAAACAGACAAAGAAACTGCAAGCTGGTCGAAACTGAGTACTTTCAAAAACAATGAAAAAGACGGTGGAGCAGCAACAGGGAGGGGGGACTTATTACAGGCCTTTATATGAAGGTTTACTGGGCAGAGTTTCATTTTCTTCACTTATTAATACAGCAGAAAGAGAAAGGCAGAGAGAGAGGTTTGATTTAAAGTCTGAAACAACTTAATCAATAGAAATGTTTTTTGCCAAAAGTAAACACCAACTGTTGAATTTAAAACAGAGTTTTCATACAACAGTAAACCTGATCAGATAATACATCAAGTGACATGCATAACTAAAGAGCTTATGGAGTCACAGCTTATTAAAGCTCTCCACTTAAAAAAAAAAATGCACAAGCACAACCCTGTACCCGCTCATGAGAGGGAACCACTATTAAACGTGTGCAAGAGCATGCACGATCATGCACAAGCTCATTTCTTCTCATGCACTCTGTTTAAAAGTTGCTGTTTGCATCCCTAAGAAAAACTTACTTTCCAAAAGACAATGTGCAATTTTTCAACTATGTCAGACTCACCACCAGTAAGTGAAAATGGGGATGAATACAAAGGATGGCCTTATGTAAATATATCACCAGAATTAGGGCTGAAACAATTAAATAGGATTAATCGATTATTAAAATAATCGTCAGCTACTTTAGTAATCGATTAATCCTTAACTGGAGTAAAGACACTGTAAAACATGCCTTCATCTGACAGAGCAACCCACTAAGAGCAGTAATTATATCAAAATTGTAAGAAAATATGTAATCATTTTGCATTTAAGATAAAAAAGACTTTAATACCTGTCAATATACTCTATCCAGAACTCCTCAAATGGAAACATTTTAGTTTCACCTGGTTTAATTTAGTACAAAGATCTTCTTTAAGGAACATTTGGTTGTCCGATTATTAATCGATTAATCGACAAAAATAATCAACAGATTAATCGATTGTAAAATAATCGTTAGTTGCAGCCCTAACCAGCATGATTGACAATTAGGAGGACCAGCACCTGGAAAAAGAACATCATCAACTATACCTTTGAAGAACTTCTTTTAAAACAGATTTTTTTTTAAAGCCAAAGACAAAATCTCTAAAGAGTGCTCCTTGATTCATCTTCTATTTTAAGAAAGTGGTGGAATTGGGATATAAATGGAAGGAGAAAGAAGTGATGAAGGGACATTTAGACAAAGTAAAATAAAGTATGGAATATTGACAATTTTTTGAAAAATATTCTCTTTTCCAATAGGAAAATACTTGCATACACTCCCACTGAATTCCATTCATTTTCTTCCCTTTCTACAGCCTAACCACAACACCCTAACCTAACCATTACTGGTATATACCTAACCCTAACCTTAACCTAAATCACAACTCAGTCCTAAACCTAAGCCAACAAAGTAAGGACCAGTAAATCATCAAAGTCCTCACTTTAAAGAATAAGCACATAACCTTACTGGCCATGTGGCTTGCAACAGATTTAGATGACAGAGGTTAACATGCAGAAAAAGCAAAAGAAAGTGTTTGAAGCCACCATATGATAGAATTGTAGCTGTGATCATAAAATATATATGATATATATTTTTGTAGAGAGGAAACAACAAGCTGACATCTTGGAGTGGGCTCTCTTTAAGATATATTCCCACTTTAGATTACATGTTGCTCTTTTTGGGAGGCCTTCTACTCTGTATAGCAGCGGGGTTTCTTTGCAAAGCATAAGTGCCAAAACAAACAAGATCAAAGTTTTTTTGCTTGTAGTTTGGAACATCACGATCATTAAAAAGTGGGTTAGCGCGGTGCACTTGTGCTTTAAGAAGGTTGTAAGTACCGGGTTCAATCCCCACAGCGTCCACTCTGGGTTCCTGAGCAAAACCCTTAAACCCACACTGCTCCCTGGGCGCTACACAATGGCAGCCCACTGCTCCCCAAGGTGATAGGTTGAATGCAGAGACAATGCGGGACAATATAGGGATTTACATATATTGTTGGATTACTAACATGAAACCAGAAAAGTTGGATTGGTTTGTGATTGTGGACATATCTATCCACCTGAGGCAAACCATTCAGGGGTAGAGAGGACTTAAGAGCTGCTGCGTTCTAGCATGTTCAGAGACATGACCGAGAGATGAAAGATCAGGTTGGTAGAAAATCCAGTATCTAATGTCCTGTTGCTATGTAAATAATAAGTTAATAAGGTTTGTGCTCATCATATGTGTGGACATACTTGACCATGCAGATATGAATGCATGAACAAGTGTAATAAAATTGGCGAGTAAATTTAGAAACACGCGTAATTTGCTGCCATCTCCCCAAGAAATCCCATCAGATTAATTCTCTGATATTTGTGTGCAGCACAGATATAAAGCACTAATCCAACGGCTCACCAAACAACATCTGTGGATTTAACTAATGCAGCTGTAGGGCAGTGCGCTATATGTGGCACCTCGGTAGCTTAGAGGGCCATTGTTCAGAAAGCAATGAGTGATCAGAAACCAAAGCTTGCTCTATCTCACTTTTAAAAACAAGGTGTTCTTCTTGGTCCTGTGGGCATGTGTGTGTTTGACAGCTGGCTCTATGTAGAGCGCAGGTTATTTCTATACACCTGAAACGCCAGCTGTTTGGTGTTTCTGCTCAAACTATCAGCACAAACAAGCTGACTGCTTCTTTCCAACAGCTGCTAAACTCCCCCAAAACCAAACTACCTACAGCGACTATGACTTTGCTATCCATTGAGATTCAGCAAAGCCAAATAAAACCTCTCCAAAATTAATCTCTCTCTACACAGCCTTTAAATCCTAACATCATGTTTTGCTTTATTAAAGGCGATTTCTCATGTTTTGGTGTCATGACTTCAGACTATAATTCAAGGTGTTGTGTTGTAATAACTTCAAAATTGAAACTAAACAACCAAAGCTGCAGGGAATTATCTGCGAAAAACGATGGATTAGAAAGATGAAAAATGGCAGCTCTGTTATTTATTTAAAACATCTTTATTGATACAGGGTAATTAATATAACAAATCTCCCAGTTTCCTTTGAGCGGATGACTAACCATTCCTGTAGTATTGGGTGTTACATGAAATTACATCATAGGCCTATGTTAAAAGGTATATATAAAACTGCTTTAGTAAAATGCCAGTTAAAAGCACTAGGGTAGATAGCAAATAGTTTTTTATTGTGTTTTTTTTTTGGTATTGTTTTTTTTTATATTGAGCCTTATTCGAGGTAAATGCATCAAGTAGAAGCCCTGAGATACATGACAGAGGAATTCATGTCTGATCCTTGACAGATTGTGTTTGTGAGTGTTGTTTTTGCATTGGTATGTGACCAGACAAATTTTCTGCCACATGTATTTTCATTAAAATGTAGTTGTCAGTTTCGTTTGCAGAGGCAAAGCTTAAGGTGTGTGGAAGTGTGCGTGAGTTACCTTCATCGGTCCAAATCTGAGCATAGCTGGGATGCAGCGACCAAGACAAAAACCAGATGACTGTGAGACACACAGGGTTGGACAAAAGGCCTGGCATCTGCAAAAGGCATGGGAAACACATTGAGAACGGGGTACTAAGAAGGTTAAAGGATTTTTTTTATTCTAAAACATTTGTTATACTTCTGGAGAAACAACCAAACAAAAACCACAAGTCCATTTTTTTTATTTTTTTTTTTTTTGGGAGAAAAACAGTCTAAATAAGTCCTTAAAGGTACCATATCCTTAAAGTTGTACATTTTCATGCACACTTGTTTTATTCTGCTATTTAGTCAGAAGCCGTCTTAATGACATCCTATGAGTTGGGACGTGGCCACTGCAGTTCATGTTAACCTAGCCTTCTACATATCTGTATTACAGCCCCGAATATCGATGCAAATAACCTCTTTAGGGCAGTTTCCTGCTTGTTGGTGCTGTTGTTCTTTTTTTTGTTTGTATGGCTACTAAAGCCACTTTTACAACCATGCAAGAAATACTGGTTTTAGCTGCATTTTTGTTTCAATCACAAACAGACCATAAAACCATCTCAATTAGACACATACCACCATGATGAATCAGGAGCTGAAACATAGCTAGCATTGACCGACAGCGTTTTTTGGGTAAGCATTTCACCACTTACTAGTCAGTAGTGTTTTGGCATACCTACTTGCTTTATTATTCATCAGATTCACAGTCACTTCCCCGCTTAATTACTTAGCGGATTCCAAAACGTGGCTGTTTTTAAAATCTGTCTGGGGTTTCTTTTGCTTTTACATTTGGTTTAGTTACAGTTTAAGTTTTGTATTAGATAAAATGAAGGCGTTGGAAATAGAGAAAGCTATGATCAAATAGTAGAAGCTCAGTAAAAGATTGTTACAATATGAAATAACAGAGATTTCAACAACATAGAAAAACCGAGGTTAATACAGAAAATTGTGTTCAATTAGTGGAGAAATAAACTCTGTGGAAATAAATTGTTTAACCTCTTTCAATAACACCCATTTAAAATGTGCAGTATGTTGTGTTAAAACTAAAGATTAGCTTATTTACAGTTCAACAACGACCTTTAATAGAATAAACCTTTTAAAGAAAACTATAAAGATGATGTATATGCAAAGAATTCAACAGTGCAGTTTTCTGTTTAATGTTCAATGCCGAAGTTTGATGAAACATCTACTGTGGGTTGACTCACAGAGCACACAGAATCCACTCTTTTTTTTGAGCATAAACACGATTCTTTTCAATGTCAAACATGTCTATAATTCAATAAAAGAAAAAAGGAGACAAGCTATAAGCAGAAGATGAGCTACAACTGTTTACCCCAGCAAACGTGTATATTTAAACTAACAAATGAAAAATACTTACGGTAGCATAAAATATGAATTAATCATAGGTCATGTCTGCAGAGGAAGAATATTTTTTTAGTAAGAGGGGTTTGCTAAAAGTGAACACTAACTGTTAATTGTGTTTTGAGCAGAAATACTTTTTTTAAGATAACTTTTATCATTTCATATTCAGTACGAAATAGTAAAGTAAAATATGCTTTTTTTTAGGCTTTATTAACACTGATTCTCTTAAATTATCTTAAAGGATGCTTGAACAGACATTTAATCTGCTGTCTAATAATAATTTGATGTAAAATGCCCTAACGAACAAATTATTAAGTTTATAATAATATATTAATTTTACAATCATTCTAGAACCACTGGTTAGTTTTAGCACATACGTAAACATAAAATAGTATTATGACATTTTCCTACTGTTTACAAAGTAAAAAAATATATAAAAAGGTATAACAATATAATATAATTAAAACAATAATCACACTCCTAAGAGTTATAAGCTTTCACTCCATAGAAAAATAGCCTCAAAATAAAATTTATTTTAAACGATCGGCTTCCCTGCACCACAAAACAGTCCTGAAATAACTATAATAATAATAAAATAGTGCTGTTAAAAGGAACATAAATGTGTTAAACCGTTTTTAAAAATGCTAAAATTTCTGGTGTTTCCCACTGGAGTAGACAGTGGGAAAAATATTACAACTGCCGGGAAAAAATTAACAAAAAACATTTTAATACTTATTTTTAATTACAGCAGAAAGTGTGGGAGTAATATGATAATTGGTTAGTTCCCCTTCCCTGCTACAGATCCATTTTCTGGTCATTCTGAAAAGTCTAACATTTGAAAAGGGGAAAAAAGAACACAGGTTTCATTATAATTTAATGTGTGAAGACTTTAGAGTTTTCCTTTCAATTTCAAACCTACATTTCACAAGGCCTCACTACAACTTATAATAATGTTATTTGGTAGCCTAGACAGGTGTTATTTTATTCTCTTAAAATATTGCATCTACACTTTTAATGAGTTCTTGTTTTGTCACACGTAAAAAAGACAAATGCTATAAAAAACATTGTCATTGCAAAAAGCTTAAAAATAAAAAAAAAACTGTAAGATGTTTATAAAGTAACGTAGGATATCTAAAATGATCTAAAAGGCCATTATGTACTTAAAACCTTCTGAAGGTCTAATATGGGGCTTAATACCATTGAAGATTTTTAAAACGCAATAGAAACCCTGCAAAGGTATAAAGGACTCAGCCAAAATGTCAGCCATTAATGTACATGTCAGTTACCAGTATAGCGTTGCACAATTTCAAAACCATTGTTGCTTCAAAAACCTCTTATTCAATTTTACTCTACCTACAAATTCATTTCCATTTTAAGTGTTTAAGTGTTTTTGACTGCAGAGTACAGAGGAAGACAGCTCTTCCTTAAACACCTGTTCCTGCACACTGCTGGTCAGCAGACAGAAAGATAGAAATTGCACTTCTCTCTTACTCATTTGGTCATGTTCCCAAACACATATGATAGAAACTAAGAGAAACTAAATTATGAAGCTAACAGTTTTAAAACTAAGGCTAAAAGCTGCTTACTGTCAGCAGACTGTAGATTTATATTAATGTATTGAAGTTGGCTGTCCCTATAATATGGGAAAAAATAGCAATACTATAGTTCTATAGTATTACTACATGTACCACGTTTCAGCAGAATATTTTTTACTCTTTAAGTGACTGCTTTTATCATGTTTTACATTTTATCTCAATCTTACAAATAATCTAATTATATATCTTATAGCGGCTGATGCCTATTAGATATTAGCCTTAAATCTGTTCTGAAAAGCTTCTAATATTAACTAACCAGGTGAAGTTATCAAAGAATGATTCTGAAAATACCTGCAAAGCATTTTTTTATCTGGTGCCACCTAAAAATATCTGAATTACGGGGTCAACTTACAGGCACTTGAAATGAGCATTGTGGTTTAGTGTGAATACGGCTCCAACATGTGGTTCATAGCATCGCGGCCAAACAGATCATGTCTTTGTATAAACTTTAAAGTAAACAGGAGAACGAGGTGTTATGTTTCAGGCTGCCATCATCTAAGCAAAGGGCTACATCTTAGTCACTGATTAATGGTGTTTCCTTAACAGGTTATTTACAATATACTATAAAGAGGATTCACAAAGTAACTTCATAACAATGAAGTTGTCAGTTTTCCTTTGTTTTACCACACAATTTGCCTCACGACATTTTTATCACCAGTATCTTTGCATGGAAAATATATAAAACACTTTAGCCTAGTTTGATTCTATCACAGCTCACATTCATTTAGTTAAACCTCAAACAAACATGACCTGTGAAAAGTCTCATGTATCATCGCGTAAGTAACAGAAAGTCATTTGAAATCCTTACAGCCAGGCTTCCCAGACAAATTTTGTAACCAAAACTTAAATTATTTATTTAACATTTCATTCAATGGACAGATTGATCGCAAGCAACAGCAGAAAATCTCAAATAATTCATCAAATCAGCCCAAAAGAATATTTTGTGGTTTCCATATAAACTGCTTCAAAAATTTTCTACAAGTCTTTGTCGGCCCCCTCGTGTTAACTGAGCTATGATGTAGCACAGACGTGTAACATTCACCACTGTTACATCAGAAAACTCAGTAAATTTAAATGTTGGTTTCTCATTCACTTGCTTACATTCCCCTCCTGCATTAACCCTTCATTTTTTTTCATTAAGCTGTTGCAGGACATATACTAAACAAAACTCAGCAAACACACTGACGGCTTCACTGATGGAAGTTAGTAGAGAGCGTAGAGGCCTAATTCCCAAACATATTAATAACAAGCATACAGTTCTGAGAAAAGATAATTGAATTTCTGACCATCAGTTTTTGACCACAGGCTTAATACACTTGGAATATATAGAAAATCAAAGGTTAAAAAATACCAAAAAAAAAAGTTTGTTTTGTTGTGGTTGTGGTGAAATCAATTCCTGGACTTAAATTCTTATTGAGATGCTTTGTCCAAACCGTAATAAAGGCTGTTCTTGGAATAAAAATTCCATTGTGGCTAAATTAAAACAGCTCTGCAAAGAAGACAGGATTAAATATCTTCCATGTTAAATCAACAGATTCAATGCTAGATGCACAGCAGGCTTTGGGTTTTAAGCTGTATTTTTCCACCAAGAGTTTGGGTTTGTTTGAATGGCTGATTTTTAGGTCTTTTTTTTTAAATCTTAATATAAAATTTTGTATGATCTGAAACCTTTGGTAAATAAGCAAAAATAGAACCGTTTATTTTTCATCATACTATTAACGACACCTTTTTGTTGGTCTTTGTAACCAGAAAAAATGGCATGAAAAATTAAACAATTGAAGAAATACTTCATAAAGGATAAAATGAATTCCTCATATAGGAAACAATGAGAGATAAAACAATTATACAGGCCATTAATTATAACATTTGAATGTTAAATAGCATTTTTTTTCTTATTTATTGCTGCTAAGTTAAAATGTTGGAATTAATATTAATATAGAAGCCTGTCAGCAAAAGTGAGGCTAATGTTAAACTTCAAACACTGTTTCTACCGTCCTCCACTTTAAGCCTGTTGCTGTCTTTTTTTAGACTTCTAACACTTTTGCCACCCTGTTTACTTGCTGGCTTTTCATCACTCAAATGTCAAAATGTTCATGGTCAAGTACCCTGACTGCCAT